TAGCTTGAACAACATGGACTTTTCATTCAAAACATTTAACTCTTCTGGAAATTGATCCAAATCCGCACCATAGACAAAAAAAAATGATCATCCAATATACAGCAAGAACAACACTAATAGCGCTTACATTAAATCCTCTACGTAAAAATATACATTATAAATATTTCATAGCACCAATAATACAAACCTTCTTGAAATGCAGCTCGCGCAATTCAGCAGCACTCATCCCCAGCGAAGACACACAGTCGCGATCAAACAAAAGAAATGATGCAGAATCCGTGTTATCCACAACTCTTACATGAACACTAAATCTATTCGATTGCAAAATTGTATATCAGAAAAAAAAATATTAAGCTTACAGATTAAACACAATTTTAAAACCGATTAAAAACAATACCTCAGATAGTAATCTTCCCAATGTTTTTAGCAGTTCTTACAGTACCACTTTTCAAAATCCTCAAAAACAGAAAATGGAAATTTTTTGCAAGACTTGTACCACCAGTTGTATTTGCTCTCAATAGATTTTATAGTCTCATACGTGATGCAAGTTGTAACCTTAAATATAGCAATCGCAGGCAAACAATTAAAATCATTCACACAGACTATATATTATTCAATAAATTCAAGAAATTCGAAGAATAAAAAATTCTATATTTACCTCGTCGAGCTTTACATCACTGATAGACTTCTTTTCAGTCTCATTCAGAAAATCATTTTCGTAAGAATAGGATGACTGAGTAGACAACTGAGTCATCCGCAGACTAGTCTCAACACCATCAGCCGAAAGACTATAGAGAGAAAATGAACATACAGTAAATGATTAACTAAATAAATTGCCAAATGAGTTTAAGAATAACAAACACACTGCTTTTTGAACTCAACGATATCTGGGATCTTCGAATCCATGACAATCTTCGTTGTATATTTTGTATTGGTTAACCCAACCTTACTTATCGAGTTGACCATATAAAAAAAATTGAAAAGCAAAAAAAAAATGTGAATTAAACAGAACACAGAAGAATAACGTATTGAAAAAAAAGATTGTTAAAATCACACCCCTAAAACATTTGATCCTGCCTAGCTGGACTATCATGACGTGATGAGGGGTGTCGCTGGCTGCCATAAAAGATTGGATCTCATCCACATAGTGCTCCCACAAAGTGCACTCCAGCTTGTGACCCCTTGATATGAGTTGCAACCCAAACGTACAATAATACACAAAAAATATAAGGGAATACAGCTCTAAAAAAAAATCTTTGTAAATATTAAATTTACAATACCTGAGGTTGTCAAGCTCCAACACAACAATTTTGGTCTTCCTACCAGAAACCACACGTTCACAAACTTTCCTAATTCCTGATATTAAACCAATGACGCCTACAGAGAAAAAAAGGGCAGCAAAGAGTTTGTAAACAAAAATCAAAAATTAAAAAATGAAAAGACAGTAAGCACAATTATATTACCCACTAAATAAGGAGAGTCAGATGTTTCTTTCTCAATTATGTCATAATCAAAAAAATCAAATTCACTCACAGAAATATTAGAATCAACAATTGATCTAAGATCAGTCCTCAAATTGAAAGACAAACGATACTGATGCCTGGTTGGCCTGAACACATTGCTATTGAATCCAACTCCAAATTTTTTGATAAAACAGCAGTCTCCTTCATGGATTTTCTTCCGCACCAGCAAAGAACCTTTGACAGTGGCGTGGATCCTACCACCCTACAAAAAAATACAGCGAACTCAAAAAAAATGGAAGATTTAAAAACGCAAGAACCAAGATTTTAAAAAGTTAAGAACATACATGTTCATCCAATAAAACCATTTCAACGTTGTCGTCTTGATCTCTACGTTGAAAGTTAGGAACTTTCCAAGCCCGAACCACCTTCACCTTAATCCTCCAGTCCTCCTTGACAGGACTGACATCCTTCAGAAAATCATATTTTGAAAACATATTGGTTAGACGGTCAAAGACAGGACGAAGAAGCTGATTCTTTGAAGTTGTGTGTTGTAACTGATATTAAGCTATTTAAAAAAAAATGACAACAACGGCAACAAAATTGCAACAGAGAAAAAAAGATTTTAAAACGAAGACGAACAGCAGTAAGAAAATAAAAAATGACGAATGATATGAAATGTGGGAAAAAAAACGACTAAGAATGACGAACGCCAAAAAAATGACGAACAACAGCTGGGAAAAAATAGAACACGAAGAACAGGAGAAAGAAGAAGATGAAAGACGTGTAGGTTTTGTTAAATGTTTAACAATTTCAATGGAAAAAGTAGGTGAACATTTATTGAGTTATCCGTTTTTTAAATTTAAATTTTTCTCTTTCCTTCCAACATTTAAAATTTGAAAATAAGATGAGTTGTGTCCCAATAAAAATGAGAACAAATCTGCACCATTGATTTTAGATAGCAAATCGTGTCCATCGATTTTGAGTCCAGATTATAATTTCTTTTATAATTTTTTTATTCCTGAATTACCAAAAAGGAAACTTTTTAAAATTTGTAGTGTGAAAGCTAACCTGAAATTGAAGCAGGAACAGACACATGGCAGAAGTTTCCCAAGAATGGGTTTGTCTTAGAATATAAGATTTATATGAATATCATTTCATTTAAAAAAAGGATTTATTATTAATTCGGTTCTAAGAGAGAATATTTATTTTATTAACCGTGTAAAAAATTCTTATGAAAATTAAGGGAAATGATATTGTAACAACCAATTAATGTTACTACCAATGTTAGTATCAATTAATTTCAATGTTAGATCGATTATGTTGATCCAACGGTTATATTTATTTTCATCTTTGTATGGTTATGATTCCCCATATTTAATACTTTATATTTATTTTTCACTTTTGTATAATTATGATTCTCCATATTTAATGTTTTCACATTAGTAGTAACACTAGTTGGTTGTTATAATATCCTATATCAAAAATTAATAAGAAAATGTCATCAAAGAATAATATTTTAATTAGAATAATTCTAATATAAATTATTTTTTAAATATATTTATTGATTTATTGATTATATATCTAGTCCGGTTCAAATATTTTCAAACTCATTATATGGAGCGATTTTTCCAAAATTATTATTTTTTATTTTAAGACTTGAATTTGAAATCTTTTGTTAAGTGAACAAGTCGTTCTTCATCATTTGAACCAATAATTATTGATGGTAATGTAAATTTTTGCTAGAATTGTCAAAAATATTATGGTTCGATGAGCCAACTCATTCGGTGGAGAAAAAATAAATCAGGTCACATATATAAAATGTTTACCTTATACCGCATTTGGAAAAGAAAAAAAAGTCTAACTTTTGATGTAGTTTGTTTTTGCTTAATTATTTCAAAAGATGATTATATTTGAATTAATTTTTTAAAGAAAAGAAGCAAATATGTTTGGGTTAATTTATAAAAAAAAATCAGTAAAAATGACGTTTTGATGTAATAATATTAACATCATAATTATTTAATTTTTGATTATTTCAAATTCTTTAAGCATAAATATTCTTTTGGATTCAAATAAATTTTTTAATTATTCTTAATATAAGTTGAATTGCTCATATAATTTCAGATCAAGAATGAAAGTGGGTAAAATCCTCTTTAAGATTATATTTTTATATTATTTGAATAAAAACATTTTTCTTTTCTTTTTTTTTCTTTTCTTTTTTGGAGTTACCCAACCCTAATTATCTCTTTGAGACGAGTTGGCTCCCTAAATTAATTGTCTCAAAATAAATTTCTTACTAATTGGTTATATATATAAAAAATTAATATAATTTTGATTCTTAACTAATCCTAATACAACTAATCCAACGAAAGTTGTTTTTTGAATTGGCTAACATGGTTATCTTTTTTCAAGAAACAAAATCACTTTTAGCATATTGCTCATTGGATGATTTGTCTGACTTACGAGGGCTAACATTTTTATGAACTTACCTTGGGGTTGGGTCTTTAATACTTTATTTTGGACAATACAAGAAATTAACAATAAAACAAGAGAAAACTAAGTATATAGCCTAAATCAGCGAACACCATTGTTGTTGTAATACAGACTCTCTGGCAAAAAAATTAAAATAATACATTTAAATTAAATAATTACGCATTTAATACTGTTTTGTAAAAAATTACATATCTGCTGCACAAAAGTGACGTCCAAAAGTGACGTCACATGTGTGCTATATATATTCCCTCACCCCCTCCATTCAATTCACACCTCTTCTCTCACTCTTCATATCTCTCTTCTCCACCAACATTCCTTTATCTTTAATTTAGTATTTGAATTTTATTTCTTATTCTATTTAAAAATGAGCTCAAATTGTTTACCAAAAAAAAAAAATGAGCTCAAATCCTGATTCTGTTCGTATTGTGTTATATTACAATGGTAGGAAGGTAGAAGGTCGACGAGGTGTCATCTTCGAAGGTGAAAAAAGGCCGACAAGTATCCAACGCAACACAACCATTGGCGAACTGCATCAGAGAATTCGGCAGAAGTTAAGTCTTCCAGACAACCAATGTATCACTGAGATCACGACAAGGGTGTGGCAAGGTGATAAATACATTAGTTTGAAAGTGCTCGACGATGAAGACTTGGAGATGACAATGGAAGAATTTTGCAACCAGTCAAGGACAAATTTTCTAGAGTTGTATGTCGAAATCGCCGCAACCGAGAATGCTCCCTTACCGGTGAGGTCAGTTTATTTAAATTCTCCCCGTCTTCCAGCTTCTCCTGCTGCTCATGCGTCTCCAGTTAGTAACTTTTCTGAGGGAGATGAAAATGATCCGACTTGGGAAATGCACGACGAAGATGACGATGACGACGATGAAAATATGGCAATGGAAGAACGTCTTCTGGCGGAGGATGCTAGTGCTTCAGAAGGAGATGAATCCCGTGAGATGGGTGCGTCTCAAATCCCAATATTCCATCAACCAGTCATCGCGCAAATGCCGCAGTTGAATGACGTTGCATCTGCCCCGTTCGGTATTCACCATGAAGGTAATTGATCCCATTTGTATATAGCTGAATAGATAACTGATTTAATACCTGAATTAGTAAGTTTGTATTAAAAAATTATAATCCGCAATTGCAGGTGATACAGATGTTATTCCTTTTTGGGAAGGAATTCTGCATTATTCCTACATTGATTGTAGTTATCAGAGCGAACAAGAATCATGTACTGATGGTTCGGTCTCTGGATCGGCTTCAATACAAGGTCTGTGGCAACTGGGTGACATGTTATTTGTCAATCAAGAATTTGCGACAAAAAAAGATGTCCAAATGGCACTTAAGCACAACCTCATTAGGGAGCATCAAGAAGTCATTGTAATTGAGAGCACGCCTGCAAAGTTGTCCATGAAATGTTGTGCGTATGATCAAGGTTGTCCATGGCGCGTAAGGGCGATCAAACCGGTGTTTCGTGAAAATTGGAAGATTACGAGATGGGGTGGAAAACACGAATGTGTGAATGAGCACATTTCCCAGGGTCATAGACAGCTCGATGCAGACGTTATTGCAGATCTCGTCATAGGTACGTATTTATTTACTGTATTGACATGTCAATGTTTACGTACTGCCGTGTAATTAAATTCGTTCGATGTTATCGAGGCACTGATATCCTCTTCAATGCAGGGATGATAAAGTTAGAACCATCTGTGTCAATCTCTTTGGTGCAAGAAAGGATAACTGCTAAATATGGCTTTCAAGTTTCCTACAGAAAGGCGTGGTATGCGAAGCAGAAAGCGATGGCAATTATTTACGGTGATTGGGAGGAATCGTATGCTTTTTTGCCAAGGTGGTGCGAATACATGCTTCGCTTTTCTCCAGTTCATTTTATCATATACAAACAAATGATCTTTATGCCGAGCAGAGCTTAGTTTCTGGAAAAAAGGTTTTTCATCGCATTTTTTGGACGTTTAGACAATGTTGTGAGGCGTTCAAATTTGCCAAACCCGTCATACAAATTGATGGAACACATTTATATGGGAAGTACAAAGGGAAATTGTTGGTGGCCACTGCCCAAGATGGTAATAATGAATGTTTACCGGTCGCTTTTGCCATCGTAGAAGGCGAAACTTTGGAAGCATGGGATTATTTTCACGTTAATATTCGTGCTCATGTTACTACCATGTCAAACATATGTTTGATATCCGATCAGCATCGAAGCATAATATATGCTGTGGAAAATAACCCTAATTGGCAGTCGCCAAATGCATATCACGTCTTCTGTATTGGTCATATTGCAAGCAACTTCAATCAAAAGTTTCAGAATGAAGATTTGAAGCGGATGTTAAAGAATTTAGGTATACTCACTGATACGATGCGTAGTTATTTCTTTCCATTATGACTGTCAATTTATGTTTAATTCGTTCATGTCCAATTTGTGCAGGTTTTACTCCAGCCATGGTTGATTTTGAAAGGAATCTTGCGAGTTTCCGTGAAAGTAGTCCTCAAATTGCTGAGTGGATTGATGCGATCCCTAAGGAAAAGTGGTCGCGAGCCTACGATATTGAAGGACGGAGGTACGATCATATGACAACAAATTTGGCTGAATCTGTCAATAGGGTTTTGAAGGGGCCAGAAATATGCCTATAACAACATTGATTAAGCATACATATAGCAGATTGGTTGCATATTTTGTTGAGAGAGGAACAAATGTTGTTGCACAACTTCAATCAGCTCATCGTCACTCCAAAAATGTTGTTGAATTGGTCAAGAAGAACCAGGTAGATGCAACAGGCCACCACGTTCGTGCATACAATGTTGAACATACTGTCTTCGAGGTTGACGCAGGTTGGGAGCGTTCATATTCTGTCAACCTCCCACAGAGATACTGTCAGTGTGGAAAGTTTAAGGCCTTTAAGTATCCGTGTAGTCACATCGTTGCTGCTGCGTTAAGTGTTAGGTAGAGTGTGTTCACTTACGTTGACGACGTCTTCTTGATAACTAACTTGGTCGAGGCTTATTCTTTTCTGTGGGAGCCAATCAGAAACGAGGAAGCAATACCTGAAATTAGTGGTCCAAAGATTATTCCTGATTCTACTATGTTGCGTGCAAAAGGTCGTCCAAAGTCAACTCGCATCCGCAACGAGATGGATGAAGTTGAGACAAGCCAATAGCAACGGGACAAACCGGCAACCAAAATTGCTACCTCCAGACTTGTCCGCCAGCAACCAAGTCCCCAACATCCGGGCAATGTGGGCTTTTGTGAAGTAGATCTCGGCATCGTGATTCCCCTCATGATCAGTCCACCGGGTATAATGCCGATCCAAGAATGAGATGCAGAGGTCGCCGGAATGATGGAACTCACCGGCCTCTGGAACATGTCCAAAAACAACAGCACAAGGAGCGTGCCAATCCTCGGAGGTCGATCCGGTGATGACAATGCCGTCAGTCGGCAAGCCCAATATGCCTGCCACATCTTGTATGGTGATCGTCATCTCACCTTGGGTCATGTGAAAGGTATGTGTCTCTGGTCTCCACCTCTCGACCAGAGCACTAATTAAAAATGTATCGATCTGTGATAAATTACGCAGTTATCACGTGTTAACGAATTTTATTGAATAATTACATAAATACAAAACGACGTAAATAACATACCTGGATATGTTGCATCCTGGCAACATGTATGAATCTCGCATGTCTGAGGTACTCTTCGACAACCTGTGGAATAGCACCGGTAGGTGGCCCCCCTTGTGGCTTCCCACGCCTGGTCTTAATTTTCCTTACATGCTCTGTATTCCACACTCGCTGTGAAATATGAGTTTTCTGCGTCCTCTTACGAAGGACCTCCCATCTGTACGGCCCAGGTATGATCCACATGCCTGGATCGGTGGGCTCTTCATCCGACTCAGATCCCGATGAAGATGATGACTCAGCCATTATCCTCAACTATATAATATAAAACAACATTTAAATTAATCACATGTAATGCCCCATTTTATTTACAATTTAATTAAGCAGTGACATAATTGATTATCATAAAAATTAAGCATATGCGTCATTTATTTAACTAGAATCGAAATTTATGAAGTCCCGCCAAAACGTAGAACAGTTATTTATTTGCAATTAAATAATAATAATACATCGGACAAAAATAATATAATACTAACTGAATACTTAACCCTAGGTCACTACCAACTTGTCCAATACGTACTAATCATCACACCTAACTAACTACAAAGTTATGCACTCCCGCATTAATAACATCATACATTCGAAATTTACGAAGTCCTTAACACTATTTATAAATCACTAATTAATATGCTAAACCCTAATGCATAATTAAAAATTAATAATAATAACTACGTAATAATAAAATTACTATATCATTAAACCATTCATAGCATGCCACAAAATTTCTAAGTGACTATCCTAATGTTCCAAGTCTCTAATATACAATCAATCCTAACATGTATTACTAACTAGCACTGTAATTTAAATGTATACATATGAGGTATTATGACCTTACCTACGTTGGCAGAGCTTCGCTACGAACCGCGGTTAGAGAGAGGTTAGAGAGGTGAATGAGTAAGGAGTGAAAAAAGGAAAATGGGGTATATATAGGTTGCACATGAGACGCCCCAATGGGGCGTCTTCCCCAAGGGAGAGACGCCTCACTGGGGCGTCACATGTGACGCCCAAAGTGGGCGTCTCATTGTGCAACAGATGTGTAATTTTTTACAAAACAACATTAAATGCGTAATTATTTAATTTAAATGCATTATTTTAATTTTTTTGCCCAGACTCTCTATATATCCTAGAGGAGGTTCGTCGAAGACTTGTATTGCCCAGGAAAAGTTGTAGGAGTAGGAGTAGGAGGCTAGAAAGTCAGCCACTATATTCCCTTCACAGTGGATATGGGAAATGTGAGTTGCCAATATCTTTATAACATATTTTTAGGAGGCGTTTGGTAGAGGAAAAGAAAAATTTATCCAAAAATCAAGACTTACAGAAATATGATGAGAAAATGAGTTTTCTGAAAATATTATCAAAAAGTTGATTGGTAGATTAACATATTCCCGGGAATATTGGGTTAATTTTCTTGATTATGTTTAGTTGTATTAAATTTTCCTTTGCCATAAAAATCCTAAAAATCCTAAAATACCACCTCCTGAAGAGTATTCCTGGATGGTATTTTCAAAAAAAATTACACACAAAATAAAATCACAGAAAAATCAGATTCTCGAAAAAATTTTAAAAATACTGTACCAAACGATGCATTTCTATTTATCCAACCAAGGAATCCCAGCAAAACAAAAAAAATCTAACTAACAAACGGGCCCTTAATGTGATGCACCACACTCTTCTAAATCTCTTGTCCTAAGCTAGATTCAATCCTTCCAAACAAGCCCACAATTTCGCATGCAAGACAATACTCAGACCTAAGTTTTTACAGAAGCCGGTAACCCAAGCCCCTAAAGGGTCTTTAATAACACCTCCACACCCAAACCAGAGAGTCAGAGACCATTACCATCTTGAGCTCCATCTACATTAAGCTTGACCCAATCAGTTGGAGGGCATGATCAAGTAATCATATTCTCTACTTTATTCCTCGACTGAAGCCCTGCTACATCATATGTGGCAGCTGCTACAATGACATTGTCCATGTACCCCAAAGCTGACACTACTAAAAAAACTGATATTAGGGACGCACAAATTCCGTCCCTAAAAGCCATAAATCTGCCCCTAAATTATTTAGGGACGGAATTTGAGACGGAACGAATTTTGTTCCTAAATGCTCCTAGCTAATGTTTTGGGACGACACTTTAGTTCCGTCCCTAATAGGGACGGAATAAAATCCGTCTCTGACTTGTGTTTTCCGTCCCTAATGTTGTCGACAATTAAGAGTTGTAAAAGGTAAGAATCCGTCCCTAATAGGGACGAAATTAGGGAAGGATTTTGTGCATCCCTATTAAGGATGGATTTTATCCATTCCTATTAGGGATGAAATTTTTGTCCGTCCCTATTAGGGACGAAATTTTTATCCGTCTCTATTAGGGACAAATTTTGTCCATCCCTATTGTTATCCCTACTTTCAAAATATTAGGGACTGAATTTTTCCGTCCCTAATTCCATCCCTAATAGGGACTGAAAAAATAACAAATGTATCAAACTACAATATCAACTAATAAGTATTGTTCACAAAATGTATTCAAAGATCATAAAATAAGTATCAATTATCTTCGTGTAACTCAGCATCATAGACATCATCTTCCGCATCATCACCAACTTGAACCTCATTGTGTGCCTCACGAGCAGGAGGTGTAGCAGTGGGCATAGAGACACGAGCCATCAAAATCTTCAACTGCTCTTTCATAACAACCATCTCTGTCTGCAAATCTTGATTTTGGGTGGAAATGGTTGTCACTAGATCTCTCATACGATTATACTCATTTACAGAGACTCATTGAGACGAACTAGCAAACTTCTGTGAAGCCTTGTATTTACTCGCCTCTGAACCTAAACCAAAAATGCGGCCCTTTTTGCTCATACCCCCAACCGTTTGCAGGAATAATTCATTATCAGATTGGCCAGTAGATGCATCGTTTCTAATCACCATATGACGTTTATTCCCCCGCTCAAAGAATTTATCCTGAAAATAAACAAATTACACTAGTCATCAATACATGTGGCAATTCTATAAACATATAGATATTTCAAAAAAGGGTGTTCCAATAAAAGGTAGCAACATACCTATAGTTTTCTGCCAACATATCTATGCAAATTACCAAGTAATATCATGCATTATGATAACTATAAATTATAAATGAACGTATTTAGGTTGCTTTCAAGGTAGCAACTAAACGAACATAATCAAGTTATCAACATCACTTAATGAACCTTACAAAGATTACAAGTCAGAAACCAAATTTGCTTTATAAGGCAAAATTTAATCATATCATAATTTTAAGTAGACACACATTTAATACTATTATTAAGTATACTAAAGGTGACTAAAGTCAACAATGTCCATAACTTTATAGGTAATGGAAAGAAAATTACAGCAACTTCCTTTGATCTCTGGGAAGTCCACGAACCATCCTTTTTAACTATATGCATCATCTCATATAGCAACCAATCTACTGAATTTGGATCTATTGCAGGGTCTTCCATCTGCAATACAAAAATTCAGCCAATCAAACATGACAGAAACATTGGATCTATTTTTTGTTTTTCATTTCTATTAGGGACGGAATTTGTTCAGTTTTCCGTCCCTATTAGGAATGGAACGTTTTTCGTTCCTATTAGGGATGGATTTAGGGACGAAACATTTTTCGTCCCTATTAAGGACAAATTTAGGGACGAATTTTAAACACCACATCATAATTCTATCCCGAGTTGGGACAGAATATTGCTCGTCCCTATTAGGGACGGAATTAGAGACGGATTACATAAATTGAAAATTTTATGTCCCTAATTCCGTCCTTAATAGGGACAGAATAGTTTTTCATCTCAAAATCCGTCTCTATTAGAGACAGAATTTATTTCATCACTAATTTCGTCCCAAATAGGAACGAATTGATTTTTCGTCTCTAAATTCGTCCCAATTAGAGACGGAATATTTTTCGTCTCTAAAATCCGTTCCTAATTCAAACTTTTTTAGTAGTGTGAGCGAGTAATAGTGTATGCACAATGGTATTTACCATCGAAAACCCATTTGTTTCTACTCTTCAAAATACTCGACGACAATATTCTAAACAAGAGAGACCAATCTGCCTCATTTCCTTTAGATCATTTGGTCCTGGCTATTTCCAAATGTGGTTCCAGTGGCGAGAATGAGCTGAAGTGCCACCGTTGTTTAACAAAGTACAAGCAAACTTTAGGGAGAATACCCCATTCATTGTCTCACTCCAAATAGTATGGTCTTGGCCATTGTGATCAAGGGGGGCATAATATTCAAGAACCG